CTTCATAATCAATACTCTTGGTTACTAGCAGTCAGGAAATCAAAGAAGGAACTGCATTAGGAGAATCTTCTGTCACGGACCTCTCCCGAGTGTTAAAGAACAATAATGTCAGTCTAGAGACTAAGGTTTGCCTAATTCAGACCATAATTTTTGCAATTGTTTGCTATGTATAAGAGAGCTAGACAATAACTGAGGATGACAGAAGAAGAATCAACTCCTTTTGAGTTGTGGTGCTAGAGAAGAGTATTGAACATACCATGGACTGCCAAGAGAACAAACAAAGATCTTTCCTGGGGAAGGTGAAACCAAGTTGCTCGGTGAAGGCAAGGATTTTGAAACTCCATCTCACATACAATGGACATGTTACCAGGAAGGATCAGTCCTTGGAGAAGGACATTCTGCTTGGGAGGATAAAGTGACAACACAGAGAGGAAGACCCTGAATGAGATGGATTGGAACAGTAACTGAGGAAGTGGTTATAGATGTGTCAGAGAGAGTGAGATTGGCTCAGGATGGGAGATGGTTCAGAGCTATTGTGCTTCTGGCTTGCTGTGAACTGCAAGTGCTTCAATGGCACATAACAACAAACAACAACTAGAGATAAAAGCTCTTATTTTTCACTTCAGGTAAGGCTGGATTCCTAGAAAAATCCACCTATCTAATAGCTCCCAATATTATATAGACTCAAACTCAACTCATTGTTGTCAAGTGTGAATCATCTCCTACCTAGTTAACTCTCCAGTGGATTTTCAGAGGGAATGAATCACACTGGAGGAGACTTCCCACCTCTCTCCCCAAGAGAAGTTCCTTCCTGTCTTTGGATTGGCAGTACAATTCTCCATTTACTAGGCCACCATATCCCTTATATAATGCATTGTTGTTATTATGTATGGTAGAGTTGGAACCGACCCATAGCTGACTCTCTGGAGGGCTTTCAGAGGCTGTTAATTTCATGGAAGGAGATTGTCCATTTATAATAGATATTTAAAAATATATGTCAGAATTACATGAAAGACTTAAATCTCAGTATCCAGTGAGTCTACCTAAAACATTACATTACCTGAACACACACACTTGCATAGCATACAAAATCCTCATACATATTATTTGATGTTTTAAATTATATCTTTAAACTGACTGAAAAGATCAAAAACTGAAAATCCAACAAAGGTTTGTAATGAAAAGAACATTAACTGAGAAATCAAAGCTTGTCTAAGCCTCCCACATGCATGTATAGTAAGCAAATCATTGTCTTTTAACACAGGTAAAACTAATACATTATATATAAAATTTGTATTGATTATACCTTTCTTTTAATACTCTTATCATGAGTCCCTTCCTCTGAAAGAATTAATACATTAAAAAATATATTTTCTTACTTCAGAGTTCTAAAAATTACTATAATGCAGATTGTTACATTAGGGGCGTTTTTTTTTTTCATTTAAAAGGAAAACCACGTTTTCTTGGGCACCTGAAAGTATCATGAGACCTAGAAACCACACCTACTATGCCTAATGGCTACATCAGCACCAGTTACTTACATACTGACTCAGACGTTAAAAAACCAAATGACACATTTTAGCAAAAATATGTAAAATTTGAAATTTTCCTTCCTTGCCTATGAGAAAATGATGTTTTTTAAAATAGACTATTAAAAAGTTAAACATAAACTTACCATATTCTACTTATACATATCAAAGATTAAAATAGCCACAAAAATCAATCAATATCCACATGAAGACTTTATATATTATTCACAAGAACCAAAAACCTGCAACAATCCACATGATCAGCAGCTCAATGAATGAAAAACAAAATAGGTTGTTGTGGTTGTGGTTGTTGTAGTTGTTAAATGTCATCGAGTGGAGTACAATTCATAGCAACCCCATGAACAAAAGAATTGAACCCTGTTCTATAACTATAATTTCTCTAATGTTCATAGTTCCCAAAGGCCTGTTGTTTAGGAATTGGATGCTGATCCTGCTTCCAAGCCTGTCTTAATCTGGAAGCTCTACCAAACACAGTCCACCATGGTATCCATTATGGCATCTGACACACCAGTGGCACAATTTTCAGTATCACAGCAACCCCAAGTTATGTAAGTACAGCAAACTGATGACCAGCGCTGTTCCACTAAGAAAAATGTTCTTCCCAAACACAATTAAAAACCAACTTTAAATACAAAGGCTCATCTACCATGTCCTGATTGACTTAAACAAGAGGCTTCTAGCCCACAACAAAATATGAGATAGAGATATATAGATAGATATATTCATACAGCAAAATAAGATTCAGCAGTGTAAAGGAATAAATTATTTACACATGCAGCAACATGGATAAGCCTCAATGTCATTATGTTCAACTCTATGTTCTTAGTTTTCTTGCTTTTTCTTTTTTACTGTGATATTAATATAGCAATTCAGGAACTGTACAAATGTACATGAAGACACTGAAAGTCAAAAGTTCTCTGCTAAAGAAAGAAGAAACAAACAGGAGATGAGTAAAAGGTTAGGAAAATTACTATGGTGTTGAGTTGAGTAGGAGGAAATGTGTATAGAAAGTCCTCTAAAAGGAATCCCTCCCTGGATGGCACAAAGAGATAACTGCTCAACTTTTACTAGCCAAAATATTGGTTAGTTATCTTCTATTTACAAGTCAAATTGATGTTTGTAACAGTGGTATCAAGTGTCTGTATAAACTAAATTTTTAAGTAAAAATTGATCATCTAATTTTAAAATGGTTAAAAATACTACATTAGCAATACAAAATGGTATATAAATTCCTAAAAACTGTAGACACTACTTTAAATTGTTAATTCACGGTGCCCTGGAGATCATTGCTGATATCAGTGGATCATAGCCAAAAGCAAATAATACCAGAAGAATGTCTATTTGTGCTTCATTGACTATGGAAAGGCAATTGACTGCGTGGATCCTAACAAATTATGGCTAACACTGAGAAGAATGGGAATCCTAGAACACATAATTGTGTTCATGCAAAACTTATACCTAGACCAAGAAGCTGCTGTGCAAACAGAGCAAGGGGAAACTGCATGGTTTAAAATTAAGAAAGATGTGTGTCAGGGTTGTTTCTTTTTTTCCATACCTAATTATTCGAGAAGCTGAACTGTATGAAAAGAATGTGGCATAAGAATCAGAAGCAGACTCATCAGTAACCTGGATTATGCAGATGACACAATCTTGCTTACTGAAAGTAGAGGACTTGAAGTGCTTGCTGCAGAAGTTCAAACACTGCAACCTTCAATATGGTTTGCATCTCAACATAAAAGAAAACAAAAATTCTCACTATTAGACCAATAGGCAATATCATGATAGGTGGAGAAAAGATTTCAACTGTCAATGACTTTATCTTACTTGGATCAATAATCAACACACTTGGTACCAGCAATTAGGAGAGTAGGAGACATATTGACTTGAAAGTTCTGCAATCACAAACCCCTCCAAATTACTGTGAAATAATGATAAGAGTTTGAGGACTAACATGTGGCTGATTCAGGTCATCATCTTTTTAATCACTTGCTATGTTGTGGAGAGGTGGACAATGAATAAGGATGACATAAAAATAATTGAAGCCATTGAACAGTCATGTTAGAGAAGAGTATTGAAGATCCCATAGACTGAAAAAAGAACACATGTCTTGGAGAAGGTGTAGCCGGAGTGCTCCTTGGAGGCAAGGATGGTGAAGCTTTGACCCACATATTTTGGGTACATTGCTAGGAAAGACTATTCCTTGGAGAAGAAGATCATACTTGGAAAGATGGAGGGATGGCAAAGGAGAAGACCCTCAACCAGGTGGTTTGACACAGTGACTGCTGCAATGGGCTTGAATCATCAGAGAGTGAGGATAGCAGAGGTTAGGACAGGGTTCAGACCTGTTGTTCATTGGGGTCATATTCAACTTGACAGCACTTAACAACAATCAGTGGTAAGGAGGGGAGATCTGTTGGCCCAGTGATAGGAAACTGTCCTGCATTCCCAAAGGCACTTGGTTTGATTCCACCAAGGGCTCTGTCAGAGAAGCGACAATCTCCTCCCATGTGATTTACTGCCTCTGAAAACTCACTGAGGGTTTAGTTGTGAGTCAGTTCCAACTCAATAGCATACAACAACAAGTGATAAGGAGTTACAGTACCGACCCAAATGCAGGCAATTTAAATTCACCAACCACTCTATAGAGGAATGCTAAGCAATCACCCCTCTTGCAATTTATAGCCTCTGAAAGCCCACTGGAAGTTCAGCTATGAATTCCAACTTAACAGCAATGAGTTTGAGTTTTGAATTTTATATTAATAAATATTTTAAAACAGCTACTAACAAGACCATTTTCAAGTCATTAACTAAACTTAAATTTAGAATTGCATGCCATATAACATCTTTCAAAGCTTCAGGATCCAGGTTGTCAATGAATGGTGACATTTGTATTTTCAGTTCCAAAATCAATTGGGAAAAATTATTATAAAATTGAGGAAAAACTCCACAACAATGAATAATAAAGGATCAAGTTCTTTTCTTTCTCTCTTGGCTCTAATTTAAATGTAGGTTTATGAAGGCAATATGCAGAAGATATTGATGGGGCAAAAAAGGGATCTGTCTCCACAAAAGCTGACAATGTATTATTTTCAGTTTCATTTTTGTCTTTCTTGATTTCAACATCTTAGTTTATTTCTTTGCAAGAACTCGTGAAAAGCACCATTTTACTTTAAGTCTATTAATCACTTCAAAAAATATAATTCACATGGACAGATTTCATCAAAATTGTTAGTTGTTATCAATGTTTTGACAATGCTGAGCAAGTTTTAAGGGGGGGGGGGAATTTACCTCAGCTCGATTTTAGAGAATTTACCAGACAAAAACAAACCACAAAAGAACTGTAAAACACATTTTCTTATTTAAAGAAACATAAGACAGTTTGCTTTTTACCATGCTTGTAATTTCCAAGAATAAAATTAAATGTGAAATGAACAAAAAGAAACAACTTACCTGTTGGAAGGTGCAGTGTTATGTTGTTACAAAAATCTGTGAAGCAGCATTCAGTCTTGGTAACATTGTTGGAACTATGACAGAAGACTTGAGCATTTAATTCCGGGAGAGAGACACAGGACTTGACCACCTGTTCTTGGCCATTGGTTAGCATGACTGAAGCCCAACATGCGCCTTCTGTTTGGCAGGTAAAGTTTGACGAATCACATAGAAGACATACACACTTCAATCCTAGAAATTGTAAAAGTAAAGGAAAAAAAGTTGAATATTCTAAAAGACATCCTGAAACTTTACTTTGATATAAAATAAGAAAACCGAGAATCAAGCCTAAAGAAAATGAAGGGTTTAAGCCATCATCATATCCTAATGCTTGTCACATGCTGAAATGTTGCTGAGTCACGTGCTCAGTATCATTCATTATCTATTTTATGAATATCCAAATATTAATTTCCACTCACATTATTAAGTAGTTACCTCATTCAGGTTCTAAATCCCTCAATTCCATTCATTTTTAAATTAACAGTTACAGTGAAATGCTGGCAAATATTATCCCCTCAACAAGAGCTTTCCATCATGACTTGTAGAAGTGGAAGAGTGGCTGTGTTGTATCACTCATCACGTCAGTGTGCTCTGTTAATTTATTATTTCTCCTTCACATTTTCAATCAAATGTGCTAGTCACAAAACTCCAAAACCACGTTTGTATTTTATGATATTAGAATGAGCAGATATGTCTTGGAGAAAGGACGGTGAGAATGTTCCTCGGTGGCAAATATGACAAAGCTTCATCTCACATGTTAAGCATATTGTTAGGAGAGGTTATTCCTAGGAAAGGGACATCATGCTTGGAAAGGTGGAGGGCAGGCAAAAGAGAGGAAGACCCTTAACCAGACAGACTCACACAGTAACTGCAGCAATGGGCTCAAGTATGTCAGAAAAGATCTACTGGTCACTATCAGTTATAATCTACCTGACCTAATTACAAGAACCACCTTTAAGACGTTGATAACAATTATTTCTCCCAAATTATACTCTCACATAAACCACGACCTCCAAGCAATTTTAATAGCCATCTCTATACCATAAACCAAAGCACAATAATGGAAATTAGCATATCTACATCAAGAATTTTTTTTTTAAAATGAGCCTTTGCTATATTAATTCCTTCTCCCATCTTAGCATTCTTCACTTACTGTCCCTCTACTCAAACACAGGCATCACACTTACATGATACTCCAAGTGGTATACACCTTGTAGGGTTTTTATATAAAATATTTGTCAGCATGCAGTCACCGATGGTTGTGAGCAATTTATTTCAAATTTACTTAAATACATTGCACTTAATTAGTGCAATTCTAAACAAGTCTTTCGTATTACTTTAGTAGACTTTTCATTGAAACATAGGCAAGTCCCCAATTATGCAAATAGTCAAAGGTTTATTATGTAATAACTTTTGCTAAAATTGAAGCCTTTCAGTTACTATTACTCAAATTAGAGTTGGTTTTATACTTTAAAATATTTTATAAATGAATAGTAATTTTTATGATCCTTTCAAATATCAATATTGGCATAAAGACAAGAGTGTTCCTACATAAGTAAATAAATGTGAGTAAGGAAAAACAAATTTCTAGTCCTTAGAGAGAAAAAAAGGAATTTTTTCCAGTAACTTTTCCTTGGATAATAAATTACCATTTTTCTAAACAATTTTACAATAAATTACTATTTTTTCTAATACAAAATCCACCAGTAGCTCCTTGGGAGAAAGATGGACAATAACTTCACATGCAATTTACAGTTTCTGAAAACTGACTGGAGGGTCAGCTTTAACTGAGTTCTGAATGGAAGGCAGTAAATTATTGAGATGAAAAGAAATACTATGATAAAATGAAATTGTTTGTCATTAATATTGGCCTAGATATAATAGCTCATTCCTTCATCATATTTATGTTACACAAGATCTTGCATTTTCGATTGTTTGGGATTATGCAGAGCAAAACTGAGACTGCTTTGAAAACAGTATTTGAGGACCTTTCCCTACATGAAACACAGATGCTTTTGCTTGGAATTCAGAAGTCTTATGACATAGAGATCTCTTTTATCATTTCTCAATTCCAATCTAACAAAAGTATTTGAATCCTGGTTTGTAATCTTCAGCATCCCCTTTGTGCCACTACTTCTTTGTATGAAAGAGAAGAATAGCATTACCCCAATCACGGTGTTGTTGTAAAGACTAAATTTATGAATAGCAGTATAGACCAATCAGGAAGCACTATATAAGCATTAGCGACAATGCCTCTTCGTACCACTGGAAGAGGCAAAGCCAGTTCCTCTATGCAATAAGCAAAATTAGTTTCTAAGAAAGAAAAGAACAATAGGATAAAATAAACTGCCTGCATTAACTAACATATCTAAACAAAAAAAAATGAACCTATTTATATTTTGTCAATAATTAGTTGATGGCTCTCATTCTTTTAATGATTCATGTTGTTTTGCTAAAAGCAGTCACCCAACAGGACGGTGTCTGGTGATAATCCCTGACAAATAATGCCCCAAAATATGAAGATACGTTGTTAGTCCTTGCTCTGTAAATAACTCATTGATTGACTCTGGACAAGTCACATAAATTCATAGTTTTCAATGCTCTTCTCTGAAAATCATTTGGGGTAGGTGTAAGAATCTTAAAAGTTTCATAAAGACTTTACAAATATACAAGCTAAGGTGTACCCGATTCAAATAATATTTTCAATTGCTTTCTACCCATTAGAAAGTTGGATGATGAACAAGGAAAACCAAAGATGACCTTTTACTTTGGTATCAGAGAAGAGCACTTAATATCCCATAAATAGCAAAAAAACAAGCAGATTTGTCTTAGAGGAAGCTCAACCAACATGCTCTTTAGAGGCAAGAACAGTAAAATGTTATCTCACATATTTGGGGCATGTTGTCAGGAGGGGTCAGTCACTGGAAAAAGACATCATGTTTGGCAAAGTGGAGGGCAAAGCGGAAGAGATAAAGACCCTCAACAAGATGAACTGACACAGTGACAGAACAGTGGGCTCAAGTCTTTCAGAGATGGTGAGGATGGCACAGGCCAGAGCAAGGTTCATAGGGTCACTAGGAATAGCAGTCAACTGGACAACACTTCACAACAACACGATGAATATACTATTTTAAGGTCCATGAGATTTCCACAATTTAATGATCCAGAAATATGTCTCACTGTGACCATTCTTTACCTTTATATTTTAAGAGGCTGATATTGACTAGAACAACAACTATATTGACATATTTCCAAATTACTTATTATTAGATTTCTCCCCAATGCATTCTTGAACTCCTTCCCAGAGATTCTTAATCAGAAGAGCAAGGCAGCTAAAGAATACAGGTCCAATAAGAAGGCATAGCCTAATGTATTCAACAACTAAACCTGTTAGTTTTAGGTGCATTCATCATCACATGTAATCCCCAACTTAACTGGGAGAGTTAGTTTTAATTCTTTGTTTTATTAACAAGGAAATGAGGTTCAGAAAGATCAAGTGGCTGATTTAATGTAACAGTTTTTAAATTATTCATCCAATACTGTATATATTCCATCAATGTTGGTGGCCTTAGAGCCGATTTTTATTCATGGCCACCCTGTAAGACCAACACAGAACTGTTTTCATTGACTATGTTCTGAGGAGCCTCTAGGTGGAAAGCCATCAGCTACTCTTGCCTTTGGAGTAACTGCTTTGTCATTTGTGCTACCTATGGACTCCAATGAATCTGAAATAGAGGAGATAGATAGATAGATAGATAGATAGATAGATAGATAGATAGATAGATAGATAGATAGAGATAGATAGAGGGAGATAGAGAGAGAGAGAGAACAAGTACCAAAACTCTCTTTCCACCTCACCAATTTCTAACAACTGTGAATAAAATATAATCTAATAATGTAGAGTGACATTTATAATTAATCAACAACTGCCAATTGAGATTCGGGTCTGTATTTTTCCCAATAATTTTTTAAAACACAGTTGATAATTTTTAACCAAACATTATTTGTCTATTTTCTGTGGAGACAGGTAGTCAAAAAGAAGTCAACATCATGCGCCCCTCATTTAGTGTACATTATCTTCCCTCTTACCTTGTCTAAATTTTGTATTAAGTGTGAGCCTCCAAATACTTAATCTGCTACTTTCTCTATCTTAGAGGTACTACTGGCTTCTCATAAAAAAAATTGCATAATAGTAATTATCAAGGCATAATGTAGTTACTCATTGCATATTTAACTTGCTACAAAAATTCCCCTCAGTTTAAAGTTAAAAGTATCTGTCAGGAGAAGAATACATTTAGGTGGCATAGCTAAGGCACAGAAAAATACACTTTACTTTAAATTTTGCATGATGGTAAACACTGGGGGAAAATAAGGATTTGCTAATGATAATGGTTTTAAACATCTGCTAAATGGATCTATTTATTCCAGATCAATTGGCAGTACTATAGCACCAACAGAGAGCAAACAGCAGACTAGAGAGGACCGAAGATGCATAACTTAGATATGAAATATTTAGTCCCATATTTTTCATTTCCCCCCAGTCCACTATTTGTTATTTTTGGTGTTTAATTTAACTATATTTATACCAACAATCGTCAACAAAGAACCCTTGTGAACTACCGATTAAAATAAAGGTTTCCATTAGTGACAAGATGTATACTTTCTTTTTTAATTGATGCTATTTGATAGTATGCTACAATAATATACTGGGATAGTCTGTGACAGGATGAATCTGTTGTTAGCAGAACAGTAGTCCAGCCTTATGTTCCTTTATTTTCTACTTCCCTATTATGTTATACTTGAGTCATATGGAAAGAGATAGCAAATAAAGTTGAAGAAGGAGGCAATTATGCATAATAAGGAGGTCTGTTAGATTTTCCCCCCATAACGAAGATTACACTTGTCTTGTTTCTCCTCCTACCCCTTTAATTATCCCCCTTTTCCTCCTCTTTGCCAATTAGTCTGTAAAGGCAAGACATCTGTTACCCTAGGATGTGCACATTTCTAATCAGCTAGAAAATAAGTTCTAACCCCTATTTACACGTGATGATAAGTACATTATTGTACAAGAAATGGGATTATCTGTATTTTCAATAACTTGGTTTCCTATTACCTAGGTTTCCTCATTATCAGTCTAGATGTTCAAATATCTATTGCTTAAAGCTTTACAAAAACCTACCATGCTTCCTTTC